AAAGTTACTGTGAAAACGACAGTAACCGTGGAAAATTTCGCTGTTTCTGATCTCATTATAATTTTTTTAGTTATTATTTATAAATACCACGTAAAAAATGTTGAAAAGTATCATTCATTTTACTTACAGACAAAAAATAATAAACTAGAAAAATTTATGAGATTAATAATTATTTTTTTCTATTATAATATTAAAAATTGCAATAAAATAAAATTTTTTTACTGAAAATACTAAAAAATAAACCGGACTCTCCGGTAAAAATTAATTTAAGTAATGGTAGTATCCACTGACTTTGAGGCAGCGCTGCAATCGCTGAAAACTTCTTAGCTGTATGAAAAATTACACATTTAATTTCAGTCATCAGTTGTTGCTCAATTACAATTATGATTTTAACAAAATTTTATGCAATTAGTTAAATGTTATTTATAAAAATGTACTTTAATGACATTCGTAATTTCTTGTAATTATTAACTATTATTCTATAAATATTTGGAATCAAGTAACATTAAATTTTTTTATTTTATGGTCAAGTCCGGTAAATTTTACTAACATAACTTTTAAAAGTATTGTTAATGTTAGAAAATTTTTTTTCGTGTAGTTTAATTTTTTTTTTAATATAATGACGCATTACTATTACTATTAAAAATAATTTTCTTAGATAAGGAATAATATTTCTTTTAAATCAAGTAATTTTCTCCGTTTAGCAAAAGAAGAAAACCACAAAGAAGAAGCTGTCAATAAAAAGCTGCTAATAAAAAATAAAAACTCAAATTGTCTAGCACTGAATCTCGACCCTGGATCACTTAACCGCGATCTTAATTAACTTGGATTATTTATAAGAATGTCTGGGGATCGAGGGTTGGCAATCGGCAATCGCATCTATAGTATGCCTTCGGCGAATCTTCCCCGATGCATTATATAAACACGTACACATAGAAATACAAATCCACGTAGGAAGAATAGTTACCGAGTATCTATCGAGTATACATAATAGAATAAATAAAATAAAATAAAATAAAATAAAATAAAATAACCGACTATGTAAAGGGGCTTTAAAAATTAGAGCTGGACTTATCAGCGGGAAGATTGGAAGGCTATAAATTTATGTATGTTGAATACTTAACTCGTAAGATTATTTATTTAATGGATTATTTTTTTCCCATTCTGTTTTATTCAGCGAACCGCTTCTATCACGTGGCCCAAGTTCCTAGATATCGCGAGATCTCCGTCCTTTTACGTGTTTCTGGACTATTTTTACCCTAGTGAGCCACCGATATAGATAATCCGAGGAAAAGGCGTACCGTGTAAAAAACTTTTATCAACAATCAAAATATTTCTAGTGATGATAATTAACTTTTTAGGCCTCACAATGGGCGGAACAAGTAGATTACAGGTATTTATCTAAATGCGGAAAATAACGCATTTAACTTGAGGATTTATTTTTTCAAAAGTGTGAAATTTAAATACTTATATTTTTAAGCGGCGTAATCCTAGTGGGAGATTAAGGAATTTAAATTCTGTCGTATTCTTAGTGTCAGCAAACTGCATTATGAAAATTGAGCCGGCTCTTTCTCTTTCACTCTCCCAGATAGAGACTAAAAAAGTACCTATATTAAATACAATAATAAAGTAACTCTTTTTTTATAATTATAAGATAAAAATACAAAAACTCTGGTATTAAATTGGCTTAATAAGTCACTTCTGAAATTACACCTGACTTGAGGCTAGTTAATGTTGAAGAAAAAATTTAAAAAAATAGATACTGATATATTAATTAATTTCATAAAAATAAAATATTAAATTTTGAAAAATTGAAAATTACAAAAAATTTCAGTTATTGGTTTGGGTTTAATTTTAAAAAATCAAATTAAAATTTGTACCTGATTTAATTTTGAAGTTAACCGGTCGAGTTTTTTCAAAAAATAAAAAATAAAAAAATATTTTTTTTAAAAAACTTTCAAATTTTTTAGATTTTTTCTCTTGAATGAAGTTAATTTTTTTTTCCCTTAAAAGTGAAAACTTTGAACTATTCTATTCAGCTAAGACAGACAAAAATGAAAATATAAATAGAAACGATGGAAGAGAGCGAAATATAAATTGAAGTAGTAAATTCCACCTGAAGAATTACCAACAAGTGAAGTCAACTTCCAGTAAGGACTTAACATTAAATACCTCGCGTACTTCTCAAGTAGTTCTATCTCTCCTTCAAGTAGATTCTTCCCCTTGAACAAGTTTAACAACGAGAAAACATTCATTAGAATTTAGATATTCATGGAGTTGTAACACTACACACAACAACCGTCTGAGCTTACTGATTAAGCAATAGACTGCCAACTTTATCGCCCGCAGATTATTAAATCCAGAATCCACAGTTAAAAAATGCCGCGCACTGTCATCCGGGCACCAAACTAACTAATAAAGTAAATAAAATAGTTCCAACGTAACGCTGCGTTACGTAAATTAGTATTACGGTTAATAACACTTTACCGTCTTAAGCCAAAGTTGTTACAATCCGGGATAAAACGGAATTAACTATATATATATATATATATATATATATATATATATATATATATATA